CACGCAGATTATGATTTGCCAAGGAAGAAAGATCGCGCACAGCGTGTTTGGTTTCCTTTGGGATAGGGCATTCTACTTTTACGTTATGTTTATCAGCATGAATGTTAACCCTTCCCCCGAGAAGGAATCAGTCGCTGTAAATATTTTACACAAGGCCAGACCCTGTTATTCAGTCTAAAATTTTAATTTAATCCTCCTCGGTATGGAAGTTGTGGTAATTTCGTCTCTACATCAGGGACTGTCGAATTTTAATTTGTGATATCCGCATGATGGCAGTCAAATTTATATGATTTTAAGCAATATTCGCTGCTTCCATGAAATAAATATTCTCTAGTGACTACAGGTCTGCCAGAGAGATGTCTGTTTTTGGCGCTGGCCTTCGGCGTGACGAATTCCCTCTCCGTATTCCTACAGGAGAATGTGATACAGATGTTCATCATTCCTGCAGCATGAACATGTAATTTTGTTGCAGACAGCACATCCCAATTCATTACTGTATGAATCCAACTAATCCTTAAGGATTTTCTTTGTACATAAGGCATTTAAAAACATCCCGCCGGCTTTCAGTAGGGCCACTTCCTCTTGGCTGCAGCGACTAATCAGATGACTGAAGAAGCGCCAGTTTTGGCTCTAGTCCTCAGCCTGATGTTTTGTTGATGCGAAGTTTTAATTATGCAGCTGCTGCCAAAGTAAATCAACTTTTCTTTTTCCATTTTCCCTCGTGTTTCACAGAGATCGTCGTTGATAATTGTTGATTATAGGTACTTGAACGAAGCAGCGGCGCCTAGACAAATCATTCAGCTTTGCACTTTAGAGGTGCAGGTTCGAACCCTACTGCGACGTAAACTGATTTTTTATAGAGAATTCTTCCCGCTACACTTCGGTGTAGCCATCCGAGAAATGGGTCTGTGCGGGCAAAGATATTCTTTTCGTTTTTGTTGGAATAATGTTGACAGTTTGCAAAATTTTAGGCATAATTTCTTTGTTTAAACAATCAGTGGAAGATACTTTTCAGTGTGGTAGACACCTCGCAGATACAATTTTTCGGCGACACTGAATAAAATTCGAAGTGCACTTATTAGTGACCACCTAGTAATGGGCGATGTTTGGACGCTCAGCAAGTTTTTAAAGAATTATAAAAGT